CCAACCCAGCTGACTAAGGCCCCTGAGTCTTGAATACTTTTCCAGGCCCTGAGATTTAATAAGTGAGCAAGCATTCTTAAAACACTCTCACACTTAATTACAACTACTGCCATGTGTGTGTGTGTGTGTGTGTGTGTGTGTGTGATGTATATATCTCTGTGTGTGTCAGTGTATGTATCCGTGTGTGTACAGCCCTGTGTGTGTATCTGTGTATATATACCTCTTTTTGTGTGTCTGTGTGTAAGTGTATACCTCTGTGTGTCTGTGTGTGTACACCTCTCTTTGTGTGTCTTTGTGTAAGTATATACCTTTGTGTATCTTTATGTATACACCTCTCTTTGTGTGTGTCTGTACACCTCTTTGTGTGTCTATGTGTAAGTATATACCCTTTGTGTGTGTATCTGTATGTATACACCTCTCTTTGTGTGTGTGTGTACATCTCTCTTTGTGTGTCTATGTGTAAGTGTTATACCTGTGTGTGTGTCTGTGTGTGCAGTGAGAGGGAGATAAAATGATAAGGCAAATGTAGCCCAGTGTTAACAGTTGGTGACGCTGGGTGAAGGGAACATGGGAGTTCTTTGAGCTGTTTTGGTAACCTCTGTGTGTGAAGTACTTAAAAACAAACAATTAGGATGGACAGGAGGGAGCAAAGCCATGGGAGACAAGTGCATTCGAGGACCCTGAGAGCACAGATAAGCCCTGGTCCGCGGTCACACTGGGGACCCGGCAGCGCACTGACACGGCAGGCCTGGCGCCAGGGGGAGGACTCTGGGTTTTCTCGGGAGTGAGGGGCATGAGGCTGTCTACACCAGGGAGCTTCGGGCTCAGATAAGGCCCGTGTCCCAGTGTCACCCTCCTGTGGGAGGTCCCTGTGGTGATGAGGGTGGTGGTTGGGTGGCTGTTGAGGCCGAAATGCTGCCTGTGAGCCGTGTGATGGGCTGTGAGCCCACCTTTTTGCCTGCAGCTTGGGCACCGTCACAGCGCCCGCTGTGCCCATCCAGATGAAGTGGGGTCAAGCACTTGGTGCCCGAGCTGCTGCCCTTTCCGCTGCACGTGCGGAAGCTCCCATTCCGGGCTTGCCGTCTCGTTCAGTGCTGGGGCACCCGGAACCCACCCGGAGGCTAAAGGCTGACATTTTCCTTCCCGTGTTGATTCCCCCCATGATATTCTGCGGGAGCTTACACTTTATTTCTACTTGAAAACTGGAAATAAGTCAACACGTGAAGAATTCTTCACCCAAGAGGTCACAGTGCCTGCACTGCTACTTAAAAGTTACTCCCACTTAAACGGGCTTTGGGATGAAGTGTGTAAAACCCAGATGTTTGGAGCGGACATTAATTTGGGCAGTTCCATCAGTTGACATCTGATCGATTTTTCCCGTTCTGTCTGCTAGGGGTGCTGGGGTTTCTTAACTCACTGAGGGTCCCCCTGGGGGATTCAGGACTGTGGACAAGTCTCGCTGAATTAGGGTGGCCGGCTGGAGATTGAGAGGTAGGAGTTGGGTTGTCAGACAGGCTGGATTTACATTTCCACTCTCCGTTCACTACCGGCTCCAACCCCATGAAATATAAATGCAAAACCAAAGAGTTTGGGGACATGAATTCATCGAAATCAGCCTGAAGTCGGAAAACTTGTGAGCAGCACAGGGAACCTGCTCCAATACTGGAGCCTCAGGAGCCATGTGCCTGTCCGTGGGACACAGGGGCCGCCGGAGGGCAAACCCTTCCTGACGGCCATGACATGTCCTAGCCACGGCCCCAGTCCACCCGGAGTCCCCGGCTCAGACCTCACCTCCCATGTGCTGCGTCAGCCATGGGGCCATGAATAAGGGGTGTGGGCTATGGGGTCGGAGGAAGACAGGGTGTGGTCAGTCACATCTCACGACACACACCTGCCACTGAGCCATCCTGTCTTGTCACCTGGGAATAAGAGGTAATAACACCCCCTCATCTGAGTCTACAGGGGCTGTGACCTCACATGGTGTTTAACATCAGCATTCTTGGATCTAACGTGCTATTGATTGTAAGAGGCGCTGATACTTTGTAAATCTCAGGAAAAGAAAAATAAACTCTGCCAATTAAGTAATCAGGCACAATGAAATATACACTGCATCTCAATTTTAGAAATATTAAATGCAAAAACAAATGCATTCTGGAATTAAGAAATCACCGTGCTATTAATTAACGTTTAATTTCTTTCCAGAGGAGATGGGGAAGCAACATTTTGAAGTAAACATAAGGAGCAGTGTTTTAAAATGCCACTTGGAAAATGAAAACAACTTAAGGATGACATCAGTAGGGGTCATTATGGTCCCTATGTAAATGGAATAAAAAGCAACATGTACCCTAACCGGTTTGGCTCAATGGATAGAGCGTCGGCCTGCGGACTCAAGGGTCCCAGGTTCAATTCCGGTCAAGGGCATGTACCTTGGTTGCGGGCACATACCCAATAGGGAGTGTGCAGGAGGCAGCTGATCGATGCTTCTCTCTCATCGATGTTTCTAACTCTCTATCCCTCTCCCTTCCTCTCTGTAAAAAATCAATAAAATATATTTTTTTAAAAAGCAACATGTAGATATACTGTATATGTATATATATATAAGATGATACTGAAAAATATTAAAAAACCCATTAAGTGAACAAATCCAAAGGAAAGCATTATGAATACTATAAACTTATTTGTGGAGAGTAATCATGTATGTGTGTGTGTGTGTGTGTGTGTGTGCACAACACACAGATGCAAGTGTGCAACACACACAAACCCCTGGTTGTCTGTGCAGAGGAGGTTTCTGGAAGGAGACACAGGCATCACAACCTATGGCTTTCTCTGGGGCCTGGTGATGTGAGTCTGGCTGAGGTTTGGAAGAACCTTACTTTCCACATGCACATTTAATAATGTCATTTGAATTTCTGAAGCTGCGCCCATGTACCACTTTTATAATAAAAATGCAATCAGCAAGCGTTAAATTTCTAAAAGTTCAAGTAGGTGCAGTATTCATTGCTTTTGATAGTTTTGTTTTTCTTTTCAACTTTTGCATTTCCCTGTAATAGGACAATGAAATGGGGAAGCAGTTTCACTAATTTGTGATGCTTATAAATCTTTCTTTATATGTTTTAATTTATAATTAATCTGTAAATAGACTCATTCCCTGATTCTTATATTTTTAAAAAATCCTCACCCAAGGATATTTTTCCCATTAATTTTCAAAGTGAAAAGGAGGGACAAGGAAGGGGAGAGAGAGAGAGAGAAAGAGAGAGAGAGAGAGAGAGAGAGAGAGAGAGAGAGAGAGACATTGATGTGAGAGAGACACATCAACTGGCTGCCTTCCCTATGGGCCCCCATCAGGGGCAGAGAGTGAACCCACAACCGAGGTATGTTCCCTTGACAGGAATCAAGCCCGCGACCCTTCCGTCCACGGGCCAATGCTCTAATCACTGAGCAAACTGGCCAGGGCCACTTTCTGATTCTTAGGGTGGTTTGAATTCTCCTAAATCGTCAATAAGGTGCAGACCGAGTGACTTCCTTCTAAACCATTTGCACCCAACTCACTTGAGATCCACTTCTCTTTTGCACAGCAGAGTCGAAGGGCCACTTTTAAGGTAAGCTGCTAAAACCAGATATCCCTTTAAAACAGTAAGCCGCTGTGTTATGTACCTCTAGGAAAACTTACCTTACTTGGGTTTCTTTTCCTGGACGATAGCTCTCGGTTAATTTCTGCACACCCACTAACCCTGGCTTGGACCCTGGAGTGATGGGAGAACCCCTCACCCACTCTGTCTGTCTTTCTGCCTCTCTTGATTGAAAAGCATCAGTAGCAGCAAATGTTAGTTCCGTTATTCAGAAACCTGATGTGAAAAACACTTTGGTGCAATATGCTTAGTAGACAATGGCCCACTGGTTCTTTCATCAGCCTGGAGGGAGGCCTTCACACTTCCCTAAGAAATGGAAAGAGATGTATTCTATCGAAACTATCCTGCCCTGTTCCACAGCCCAGGACACCAGGGTGCCCCGGCAGGGGAGGCAGGGTGCCTGGGGGAGACCAGGTGGTCTCAGGAAACCGCAACGTCTGAGTGTCCTCTGAGTGTCTGCGAGCAAGCATCCCCAAATACCGGGATCCCGAGGGCTCTGGGCGCCTCGCCTGGCTGTGCTCGGAGGCAAACTTTCAATGAAAAGATGTCACCATCAACAAGATCGAGCCCAGCTAAGCCGCCAAAGCGCCATGTTAAACATCAGTCACCAACTGCTGTTTTATTCACACCAGATGCTACTTCAAAAAGATAGTGTCCAAGGTTATTTTTAACAAGAGCACGTTATCTCCTTTTCAAGATTCTCAGAGAGAGAAACATGGACCACAGGGAGCAGCTCTGTTTCCTTCAGCAAATCCGGTGGAGCCGGCCACAGGCCCTCTCCGCAGCCTGGGCCGCACCCACGCACGCGTGGCAGCTGCAGACCCGGAGAAGAAAGATGCGGGTGCCGGCGTGAGAACTGTGTTGCCTGGTTTCCTCACTTAGTTGTTCCAAAAGGTTGGCTTTAAAGATCTAGTGTGATTAAAAACGTAGGCTGGCGGGTTAAACGCAGTGCTTTTGGCTGCATCCTGAAGGCACGCATACTGACTGCTCTGATGGGGAAACACGGCCGTGAGAACGCAAGGGCAGCAGGCGCCTGGGAGGGACAGCACGGCTGGGGCGGGGAGCAGGTGGGCAGTGGCTGAAGTGCATGTCTAAGAGCTAGAAACAGACAGTGGCGGAAGGTTCTGCAGATGGAGGAGGCCCTTCTGAGCAGAGCCCTTGTGGTTAGTTGAAGTGAGTGAGCGAATAGCATTAGCTATGCAACAGAATAAAATACACCAGTTGTCCAAGAGACTACTTGCGACCACTGTATGTGGAGGTTTGAGGGTAGCAAATCCAGTGTGACCTCCATCATGCACTGGATTTGGGCCAGGATAGGAAAATACTCTTGTAGGACAAATAATGTATTTTATAAGCATGGTCAATTGGGCATGAGCTCTCAGTGCGCGGAGAGTCGGGGAGCTGCACGTGGACTCCCCTGGGGCCCCGGGGCTGGGAGGGCTCCCTGGCAGGGGAGGTGGCTTTACTTCTCCTCCGTGGACAGGCGGTGGAGAGCCTCGCCCAGGCGCAGCAGCTCCGCCCTGTGCTCCAGCTCCTGGTGCAGGCCTTCGGGAACAGCAACCAGGCCGTGGAGCAGTCCGAACAGGCAGCCCGCGATGGCCCCCGTGGCTCCACTCTCACCTGGAACGGAAACACAGGTCTTCAGGATTCCAAGGGCAGCGTGGGAAGGGGCACATCACTGTGAACTTGACACTAACCCAGTGATGGCGAACCTTTTGAGCTCGGCGTGTCAGCATTTTGAAAAACCCTAACTTAACTCTGGTGCCGTGTCACATATAGAAATGTTTTGATCTTTGCAACCATAGTAAAACAAAGACTTATATTTTTGATATTTATGTTATATATTTAAATGCCGTTTAACAAAGAAAAATCAACCAAAAAAATGAGTTCGCGTGTCACCTCTGACACGCGTGTCATAGGTTCACCATCACTGCACTAACCAGGGCCTCTTTGCAAGGGCCTGTCTCAGAGATGCTCCTGGGCTGGTGTCTCTACAGCAGTAAGCATTAGGGCTTTCTCAGCCTCCTCCCCCTCCCTCGTGCCAAACCCCAGTTTTGCCGATGGGCCCTGGGTGGCTTTTGCTGTCCCCAATACAAACACCCTGACAACACACAAGGTGTGCAGATGCCTTTGTTATCATGGGTGCAGGGTGCCAAGGAAGTCCTCCCCTCCAGGCTCTGCAGGTGGCCAGAGTCTACGCGGGCTCCCTCACAAGCTGTCTGCACCCCACAAAGACTCCTGCATGCCCCCCACCCCTGCTCTCAGCTAGGGGTGCTGGATTGTGTGGGTCACTGCGCCCCTTGGAAAGTCCCTTGTCCCACGTTCATGGCCACCCTGCTGCCCTTGGCTCCCATCACTCTCTCCTGGGCTCCTCCTCCCCTAGTGGGAGCCCCCAGGCTCTCAAAGAAGCCCCCTGCTGGCCTCAGGAAGTGCAAACTTCTCAATCATCTCAGTACCAGCAGCAGCACTCTGCTCTGACAACAGCCACTCTAATAGTGATGGAATCCATGCCCACCCGGAGGTAACATATACAGGAATCCTCTTTACACTCACAGGAGACAATGGCACAGGGAGCGAGGCAAGGCTCCCAGCCCTGCAGCAACGATCACTGCTGCTCAGTGGTGCAGCGGGGAACTCCTGGCACCATGTACCCAACTGCCTCACAGCCCTGTGAGTTGGGTTTGATCCTCTCACCTCACAGAGAGACTGGCCTGGAACTGCACTTGAACCCAGGGCTGCCTGATTCTAAAGTGCAACCTCTCTGTGATTGCAGTCTGCAGAGGTGAGGGTGGTGATAGCAGAGGTCAGAACGCTGCACGGCCAGCACCAGTCGAACCCGGGTGCTCTTCAACCAGCAGCCACGAGGGAGAGGAGCCTGCACCCCAGCGATCTGAACACTACATCTCTCCAAGCTCAGACCCTCAGGGCCACCCAAGGCAGCGCGGCAACCTGCCTGCAGTCTGTGATGTCTGTGCACGAGTAGCTGCAGCCAGCGCCCTGCCCAGAGAAGAGCCCATGGTCTGGGGCTCCCTCACGCCTGACACCTCAGACATCCTGACAGAATGCACAGGGATAGGGATGGGTGCTGGCCTCTTGGAAGTTCGAGGCCATTGAAGAAGGGAATCTCACCTCCATGAAACATGGCCCGGTGGCAGAGCTCTGTCCAGTTGTTCCCGGCTCCTAAGAGAGCGTCGTAGGCAATCATGGGGGCATCATGGCCCCGTCGCCCGCCTCGGCCTTCTGAGCTCCATTTCTTGTAGGTCTGAAGACAGAGCCAGGGGTCAGAGGCATGGACCAAAAGCGGAACCGTGTCAGAACCTGAGCTCCCCGGGTCCGTCCAGTGGGCTGTTCATGTACCCACTGAGCACTGATGGAGTACCACCCTGTGCCAGGCACTGCCGGGGCTGGGGAGGGGCAGCGAGCAGGAAAGGCTCACTCCTCATGGCTCCTACATGGCAGCCATTCTGAGACGGACATTCCCAGATAAACAAGCACCGACAGCGTGTCAGGCAGCCCTGAACCCCATGAGGAGAAATAGAGCTGAGCAAAGGGGCTGAGGTGCCGTGACAGGCATTTGACACCACACCCAGGAAGCCACTTGCTGGTGACATTCGGTCTGAGTAGGGCAAAGAGACAACGAGATCTTCCACGACCCCTCCCACATGCAGCTGTTCCCTCAGCCCGTCGGTACTGCTTGGGGCTAAGATGGCAATAACAGCCCAGGTGCAGGTGGACCCCGTGGGCAGTGGGACCCTGAAAGCTCCCGGTTCCCAGCTGCCATCTCAGACACAGCGAGGCTTACCTTGTCCCTCTCCTCTGCATCGTAATGGTCAGGGAAGGCGGCTTTACTTTCGGTGTCTTCACTGAGCTTCCTCTCTTCCAAGTAAAACTGCCATTTAGCTTCAAAGTAAAACCAGTGCTCCTGGTACTCTAAATGCAGAGAACAGGGTGGCAGGATGCCATGGCCATCAGCCGGGGTGTGGGGGCCGCAGGGGGGTGAGTGGGGCCTGGGGCAGAGGGGCTGGGCTCAGAACGTTGTGGGCAGTGAGCGGGAGGGGACAGAAGACACAGGGCAATGCTCTTTATCCCGGGTGGGGACAAGGGGACGGGAGGAGACCTGGCACCTGGCCTTTGTGATGGCTCTAGACCAGGGGTCCTCAAACTTTTTAAACAGGGGGCCAGTTCACTGTCCCTCAGACCGTTGGGAGGGCCGGACTATAGTTTAAAAAAAAAACTATGAACAAATTCCTATCACACTGCACATATCTTATTTTGAAGTAAAAAAAACAAAATGGGCCGTAGTTTGAGGACCCTGCTCTAGACATTCAAACATGCTCGTATTTGTAGCTACTCTGAAACAAAAGCAAGGAAGATGGTGATGGGGGACAAAAGCCATTCAAAGAATTGCTTAACTCTCTTCTGAAACGAGACAGTGACTGCAACATTTTTAAGTGCATTCTTTGAAAATTCTGAACCTGGGTATTTTTATTAATTCAACACTGCCTGCAAGGTAGGGAGAGAGGACGCTTTACTATCCTAATGACCAGCTCGACATCTAAACCCCGGAGGGGGTGAAGCAAGTTTTCTGGGGTCATTTGGTGAAGAGGAGGTTGACTCAGAAATGAGCTGGAGCAGCAGCTACACTTGCTGGTAGCGGATAGGAGATGGCTCTCTGGTCTCCGAGCTCCTAGGAAGTCACGAGGGCTTCACTGTCCCTCCACCAAGTGTTCTGGGTTAACACACTTGACCTTGTCCTCCTTGAGAGCAGGCAGGACCACGGCTCCATGGATCGCCCAGGATGCCAACAGAGTAGAGTGGTTAAGTGGCCAGTGAGGCCCGAGGGAATCAACCGACTCAAGAGGAAACACAGATTCTGCCGTGTCTGCTTATGGTTGGGAAGCTGGGGCAGAGAGCGGGGACCAGAGAGGGACGAGGTGGTCACGGGCTGCAGGGGAAAGCAGTGTTCCTCTGCCCTTCTAACCACGGGGACAGCAGGAGGTGCCTGGGGTGGGTCGTGGGATGACATTCCAGGTTGCCGCGGGAATGCCAGGCTCTTGGAAACAGTGGCATGACTCTGTTTTACAAAACTAAAGGTGAGGCCCATTTAAGGTCTATTTCAGTGAAATAAGATGAAAAGTGAGAGGCAGAAGCAACAGGGCAGGGACCAGAATCCACGAATCCCATTAGCCCTGCAGAGACCCGTGTTTCTAGCAGAGAGCTCATGCTGGTGTGGGCGCAAGCTCAGACAGAGCCTCCTTCCCAGTAAATGGCCAGTCACCTTTGGAAGTAGATCTTCAAACACAAAAGCATGGAACTAACTTGCTAATTGTCCTTGCTGCCGATGGATGTTGTCCTAGACTTAGCAGAGGCCCCAGAAGAATATTTTCTGGGGGTGCTCTATAGAACACTATTTTTCTGGATGATTTTAGGTATTTTGTTAAAAAGGGATTAAGAAGTATGAATGGGAAAAAAAAAAAGAAGGGGCCGTTACAAAATAGTCATGAGGATGTAAAGTACAACATAGAGAATATGGTCAAGAATATTGTCATAATTATGTATGGAGCCAGGTGGGTACCAGATTTATGGGGGGAAGCTAACCACTATGCTGGTACAGCTGAAACTAATCCTAATATATAAAGAGCCAGGGTCCGTAACGTCCAAAACGACCGAATGGACGACCGAATGCCAGACCGCTCGTGCAGCAGGCTCGGGTGGGTGGGGACTGGCGAGTGGGCTGAACTGCTGACCTCTTGGTCCCTCCTGGGTCGCGGGTGCCCCAACAACCCCCAGCCAGCGCCGCAGTGACCCAGCACTGACTGCCACTGCCAAGGCGGGTACGATGCAATTGGTTGGGGGGCCCCACCATTGCCCCACGATCGCCCCCCAGAGGGAGGCCCAGGCTACCCGGCCAGTGGCAGTGGGGCAATCAATCAAGGGGCTCCCGGACTGCAAGAGGGTGCAGGCCGGGTTGAAGGACAGCCCCCCTCCCCCCCCAGTGCACAAATTTCGTGCACCAGGCCTCTAGTATAAAATAATACTGACTGTTAACTGTGATTGACAAATAAAAAATTAAAATTAAAAAAGGGTTCTGCCATAAAGGTTCATAAAGCTCTGAGTTAAACAAATTTAAAATTAAACAGAAAGAATAAAGTCTCAAAATTATCTGACCAATGACTCTTCTCGTTTCTGTTCATGGAAGATCTTTGACTATTTGTTCTTCAGAAAACACTGGGGAAAACCATTTTGATACTAGAGTTCTGGGGAACTGTTGATTAGTATAATGTGAATAATGCAGTGACTGTGTAGTTTAATACACTCATGTTATTTACTTCTTTCAGATGGTTTAAGGTGAACCTACTTGGGGGGAGGGGAGGATGACTAACCCAGTGATCAGAAGCCAGGGATAACAATGACAGACCAGATGAAAAAAACAGTGTGGGGTTGCCACCTGTGTTCTATAATGAAGCTTGTGGAGGGTGACTGCTTAGGGACACTTTGCTGTGAACATGGAGGCTTCTTATTTCTCACTGGAACCGGGACCTTGTGGAGAAGTGTTTCCCAGCATTGGGTCCAGGCAGGGATAAGTGCAAAAGTCTCCTTGAAAAGTTGTTCTAAAGTTCCCACTCGGCCTTCTAGAATATAGCTCCTGGGGCTTGGAGGGTGCAGTAAAGTGATTTGTTGGCTCTGTGTTTCAGGAAAAATCAAGCATCCTGCTCCTACATTCAAATCCTTCAACTCCCTCTCCTCCAGGACAAATTGGATACTTTATTCTAGAAATTTTCTTCCACAGTTTTAGAATGCCAAAGGCCACATGAAGCTGTCTGTGTTACTCATGCAGCCCATGACCCTCTGTGGCTCAGCTGCCCGAGGAGAAAGCCAGGGGTTGCCTGGTCCTGTGCCCGCTCTCCCTCGGATCCCAGGGGGAAAGGGGAGCAAGCCGAGAGGAGCTCAGAGGCCAAAGCGCCAGCAGCACCGTGATCCCCTAGGACCTTTGCTGGGCTGGCTGCATTTGGCTGGGTTGACCGTACTCGTGGCCAAAAAGAGTGAAGCATTTAATGACTCAACTGGGACAGATGGAGCTTCCTGGGCCTTCATGTCATCGGTGGGCACAGACCTCTGCCTGGCCTTCATGTGAGAGACTTTAAGTCCCCTGGGTTAGGCACAGCTGTCCATTAGGTCCTTGGAGCAGTGTCAGCTAGCATCTCATTCCTCTCTGAGACATGGGCTACTTACGGATAATTTGGAAAATTAAATCTAAGTACAGTAAATTCTCACTTAACATCTTCAATAGGTTCTGTGACTTTAAGAGAAATGATGTATAAGGAAACCAATTTTACCATAGGCTAATGGATATAAACAAGACTCAAGTTCCTCATCAATGACTTAACAAAATGACATTGAATGAAACACATACTTCAAGGATCTGCTGTAATGCACCCATTCTTCCTGGTACCTCTGTGGATCTCCTTGGGCTTCTTTGTGGGATCCGCCTGCTCACATGGACCCTACGGGGATGCTCTTGGTGGGGCAAATGGACCTTGACCTCCTTGGGAGCCAGGTCTGTGCAAATTTGCACTGAGTGTGACTTGAGACCAAGCTCTAACTGCCTCCTTTCCTATAAGTGGCAGGAAAGGAGGCCAGGCTCACCTGCCAGGTGCCGGATGGTCTTCTTACAATATTCTTCAGCCAGCGGGACCGTCTTCATCATGTCTCTCCCCCACTGCTCCAGCGGCTTGCCTTGTATGGCGTAAGATGCAAACAGGGCTGTGCATAGGGCCCCAAGGAAGCCTGGAGGGCGGAGGGGAGAGAACAACAATGGCACCTGAGCCATAACCCTGCTCTGGGCTGCTGGATGTGTGTTAACAGAGGCAGGACCATGGGCAGTTGCTTCATGCATTTTGAGCTTTTTGAGCTTTTGTTTCCTCTCTGCACAAAAAGCCACAGTACCCATCTTTCAAGGGCTTGTGGGGACAGATGATTCTAATCACAAACGAGTGCTTGCCAGCTCATAGTAATGGCCACACCAAGACTGTGCCCATCAGAGGAAGGGCACTGCCATCTTTTTTTTAAAATTGATTTCAGAGAGGGAGAGAGAGATAGAAACATCAATGATGAGAGAGAATCACTGATCAGCTGCCTCCTGCACGCCCCCCACTGGGGATCGAGCCCACAACCCAGGCATATGCCCTTGACTGGAATCGAACCCAGGACCCTTCCGTCCGCAGGCCGAGGCTCTATCCACTGAGCAAACCAGCCAGGGCAGGGCACTGCCATCTTGCTGAGGATGGCCACTCCTTGAGGCATCAGTTAGGGGTCATTTCAAGGGCAGGGGACAAGCATCTCGTTCTCAAGCCCAGGGTTCAATCACTGTCCTGTCCACCTGCCATCACTCCCCCTCCTCTTATGGAGTGTTTCAGGTCGCGTCTGGGAAATGCACACTGTAATGAAAATTCTGACACTTGCTGTCAAAGGTGGTTCAAAAATGGAAAAGGAGCCCTAGCTGGTTAGGCTAAGTGTTAGAGCATTGGCTCACGGACTAAAAGGTCCTGGGTTTGATTCTGGTCAAGGGCATGTACCTTGGTTGCAGGCTTGATCCACACCCCGGTCAGGGCCTGGGGTGAGTGCAGGAGGCAACCAATAGATGTTTCTCACATCGATGTTCCTCTCTCTGTCTCTCCCCCTCTCTTCAACTCTCTCTAAAAACAAAAACAAAAACAAAAACCAATGAAAAAAATATCCTCTGGTAAGGATTAACACAAAAAAAATTATAAAGGAGAGTGGACTCAATTGAAAAGGAGAATGCACATCTTAGCGTTAATTGAGTACAATCAACCCTTTAAAACATTTTCAGTCATCATTCTAGAAATACATAAATGACTTAGCCATTAAACATGGAAAACAACATTTCTTTAATAAGATTGGGTAATATATTAGCCAATGTTTTAGGTGTTTAAATTCTCAACCCAGACCCTTTTTTTTTGGATACAATTTTAAATTTAATTTTACTTGAATTTCACAAAACAAAAAGAAAGAGAAGTTGATGGAATTGTTGAATTAATATAAATATTTTCTCTAGACAAGAGACACTTCCCCTAAAATATTCCTTCAAGATTAAAAAAAAAAGAAAGAAACTATGAGAACATTAGAGGTTGAAGTCATTATGATTTTTTCCAAGGACATATTTCCCTTTTTGTTTGTATAGACTGACTTGCTGTGAAAGATGAGTTCGTTGGCCCAGCCACACTGGGATGAACGTGCGGTTCTGAAAATATTGAGCCCTTCTGTACCATTAGTAACTGTCAGCCACTGGCTCTCCCCAGGGCTCTCCCTCTCCCATCTGCTCCCCCTCCCCCACCGCCAGGACCAACCCCAACCCCCATCTCCCGGGGACCCAGAGCTACAGGGGAAAGGGGACTCTGGTCCGTCTCCCAGCCTTCAACACCCAACACCCCCCCAGCAGCTTAGTCCATCTGTTTTATATAACGGCCTCAGGTAAGGCTTTGTTTGCTGAAAGTATTGAGTGTGAAAACCCCTGCTCAAGGTCAGCCCTCAGGCCCTTGAAGTTTGCACAGTCCAGGATTTCTGAGAATGGAGGCCTTTCTCCCAACACACTAGCTCCTTATGAAGTCAAGTGCACGTCTGCATCCTGGTGTAATTACCTTGCATCCAAATGGGCAACAGACACAGGCCTGTGGGTATGGAGACGGCCCCGGAGCCGGCTCCAAATCGGATGAGGCAGAAGGTGCTGGAGCCCAGGCTCTAGTGGAGGCGGCAGGAAGGGAGTGGGCTTTGCTCCGTGCCCAGCCCCGTGCCAGGTGCTCATGGTCTAGATCCTCTCCAATCCTATGAGAGGTGTTTCTTTGCTCCCTTCCCTCCCGCCCTCCTTCCCTTCCTTCCGGATTTACCGAGCACCTGTCTGTGCCAGGGGCTGGGCTACAAAGGCACAGCTAGCATCCCCGAGACCTCATCGCCCTGTGAGAGCATCATCCAGAAAACGGCTGTGACTGGGGTGGGCGCAGGATGCAGGGGGAGCCCCAAGCAACTCAGGGAAGGTTCTCCAGTGGAGTTAAAGCCGAGCTGGGATTTGAAGGACGAGGAAGGGCATTCCAGGTGGAGGGAACTGCATGTGCAAAGGCAGGGAGGCAGGAAACAGCCTTCCTGGTCTGGGAACTGTGGGAGAGCGAAGGAGCTCAGGTCCAGGAAATCTGCTGGGTGAGGTTGGGGCCCCAGAACCCACTACCTGGACCCTCTGCCTCCTTGACCTCCTTTGCTCCCGGCTGCCTGGCCAGGAAGAGGCCCTCATCCACCTGCACAAAAGGAGGCTTTGAAGCTGGAGAGAGGGAGTGAGGAAGGAGGGGCCAGCTGGTGTGTATTTTGGGGTTGCTTCTCAGAAATCCCTCCTCCTCCTCCTCCTCCTACTCCTCCTCCTCCTCCTCCTCCTCCTCCTCCTCCTCCTCCTCCTCCTCCTCCTCTTCCTCCTTATCTGACACCATGGCAATCAAGGGGCAGCTGGGGGAGCCACCTGTGAGCAGGGCTGACTTGAGGGGGAGGTGGGCTGGGGGTAGGGGACCTCAGTTTTGGCATCTAGAATATGTGCACGACAACCCAGTTGCTGGTTCCTGTCAACACAGGTGCTCCAAGAAGCAGAGACCCAGACTGGACTCCTTAGGGGGAAGGCCTGGGAGGTAAGCGTGGGGCTGGGGAGTGCCCTGCCTCATCCTGCAGCTGGGGACTCAGCAGGGCAGTGAAGAGTCCCTGAGCCATGTAGCCTGCACTGCTCACCAAGCAGCCTGCCTGCTGTGCCCACTGCATTGTCACTGCCCAGGAGCCCCTAGGGGAGCGGGAGACAGGGCTGAGGCACAGACACAGGAATGAATCTCCCTGTGAGCCCTGCAGCGAGAGGTCTAGGGGGTCTCCCCTGCGGAGGACAGGGCTCTGCTGTCCCAGAACTGGTCAAAGCCTCAAATGGAGGGGTCTATTTCCTGGGGCTGCTGCTCCCATGACTCCAGACTGGCCTAAACAAACAGAGGAACCTGTGCTCTCCCCGTTCTGGGGCCAGAATCTGAAACCGGGGTGTCTGGGGCTGTGCTCCCTCCGAGGGCTCCAGGGGAGTCCTTCCTGCCTCTTCAGCTTCTGGAGGCTCCTGGCCGCATCCCTTCAATCTTCACGTGGCCCCTCCTCCGTCCTCACGTGACTTCTCCCACGCATGTCCCCACCACCTTGTTCACATGCCCATTCTTGCGTGATCACGTGGCCCCAACCCCTTGTTCATGTGCCCACTTCCGGTCGGTTATGTGGCCTCACCCACTTGTTCATAGGCCTATGCTCGTGAGTTCATGAGGCCCCATCCCCTTGAGACCTTGCATGGTCTCTGTTTCAGGGGTGCCACCTCCCTGGTTGGCTCTCTGCCCCCGCTCTCACACCTGTCAACAGTCCCTTTGCCAAAGTCCTTCCAGAAAATCGTTTGAGTGTGCCATCTCTTTCCTGCTGGGACTGTGACAGCTGGGACTGAAAGGAGACAGGAGAGCAGTGGCTCATCCAGAGTCCAAGCAAGAGGCCCAGAGGGGACTGTGCAGTCCCTGGAAGGTTGAGGGAGGAAGGGTGGTGAGGCGGGGTGCTGATTAGGGAGTGAAAAGCCCTCAGGGCAAGTGGGGTGCACACACAATCACCCACACTCCTGTGAGAAGCAGCTGTAACCCATTGTACAGGTGAGGCTACTGCAGCACAGAGAAGGTGAACAACTTCCTCAAGGGCACACAGCAGTAAAAGGGCAGAGCTAAAAATGGAACCCTGGCTGCCCACAGCCTGTGTCTCCTTTACCTGTGACCTCTGGGTAAGCGGTCCCTCATCCTGTGGCCATTTGCTCTGATGGGCTTCACCCTTCCCCCCACCCCCTCCTCCACCCCCAGCGGACAGGGGTCCTGTCACTGCACCAGTGCCTCTGGGCAGCTGCTCTCTTTGTCCCGCGGTCCCTCCCAGCTGGTAACCTTGGCAGAGTCCCGCTGCATTGCGGGGAGGGCCTTGTGTGGAGAACACCCCACCTCCCCTCCCCATCTGTGGCTTGGATTACAAAGTACCATTATTTTTCCTGTGTCTGGCTTCCGCCACCTGCCTCCCCTGGCAGATTTTGTTTTACCTCAAAAAGAAATTGACTCAGGGTCTGCAAACCGCTGACTTCCTGCATTCGCTCTGTGAGACGTGGCTCTGTCCCAGTGCTGCCTGGTCCAAGTCCCTGATGCCACCCGACCTCCGACCTCCGTGGCAGCATCTCTCATTCCCTAGTTCTCAAACCCAGGGTTCAATGACAGCATCTGTCATTCAGTGCACAGCACCCTCAGCGCTCCCCTGCAGCTCCAGGGACCTGCTGAGCCCAGGGCCCCAGCCTGTCACTAGTCTCCCAGGTCCTGCCTGCAGCCCCAGGGTCCTCAAACCAGTCTGGGAGGGGCTGGTGGGTTGACCCCTTAAACAGAGGGGCGCAGACACCAGGTGGGCACCCTGCCCCTCCTGCCCCCACCCCCCACCCCATCTTCCGGAAATGCCCTGAGCTGACGTCCTACCCCTGGAGGGCTCGGCCTGTGCAGTGCGGCCGCCAGAGGGGACCCGTCTGCAGAGTGGCAGGCGGAACAGGCTTCCCAGGGCAGCTGGCCCCAAAGCCATCCTTCAGCCTCTCACTTACCCCTTCTGAAGGGTAACTGGGTGTCAACCCAGATCCTTGTACCCATCATATTGTTTCATTATGTTCAACATTTTCACATTTCAAGGTTTTTTAATGTTTGACTTACTTCTAGTTGAATCAGTTAGTTACCAGATGCCCAGCGTTAACTCCTTTTCAATCATCCCAGATGTTGCCAACTGGCTGAATTGTATGCCTTTCCGTGTAAACTTTAAAGATCTAAGAAACTTATTTGTAGAAGTTATGGCTTAGCCTGTCACTGCCTTTGCTGAGCTCATTGGCATGTTTTGCCACATCCACTTAGCAGGGGTTACATCGCCCACAAAGTTCACACCCACAAAAGAGTACTTTCCAGAAAGACACGGGATTGCCGCTGAAGGCGACTTTGCAAAAGGACAACAGTCACCAGAGAGCAGCTGGCAGCCTCAGGACTTCTGGGTGGGGCTGGGGCTGGCGCACACCCCCTGCATTGCCATGATTAAGGGCTGGTCACAGGTACAAGAGTCTCAAGTCATTCTTTTTTTTAACATCAGGAGCTGATTGCTTTCTAAGTCACATCTCAGTCAGGCTCTGGGGCTGCCCCACCTGCCCTCCCTCTGTGTGATGGACATGTGGTGGGGGATCCCAGCACGCAGCTGGCCCCACTGTGCACACTGTGCCTGAGGGTGTGTGGGGGATGAAATGAGTAGAATAATAACCCTCCTATCACCATAAACATCCCTGTTGCAGGTGAGGACATGGAGGCGCAGGTCATTAAGTGACTCGGTGCAGCTCATGTAGCCAGTGAGCCTTGGACCAGGGGCAGGTCGTGGCAGCCAAGGACGCGGGCTCTCTGGCCTGGCTTCTGTCTTGACAGCGTAACATAAACGCTAGCTCTCATGGCGTCAACCCAGATCTCAGGTTTCAGCTCTTTTAAGTTGAAAACAGAATTTAAGCAGAACTGTAGATGTACAAACCCAAGTCTGCCAACAAACAGCAAACCAAATAGTGGATGTGACCACATAAGATTCCAGTCTAGTCCACCGGACTGAGAACGACACGGCAGGCACCTGTTCTGACGCCAGAGTTACCTGTGGGGTGGTTGTGCGTCATCCTGCCGCACTCGATGCTGACTTCGATCAGGGTCTCCAGCCGCTCGGGCTTCCAGTACCGCATGCCGATGCACATCGCTTTGGTGGCAGCTCCAAACCCCGAACCTACATGGACCATGAAATACCTCATTTTAGACTTTTGCTCCAATAATTCCACTTAGGCAATCTGGTTTTCATGAATAATCTTAAAAAATGTATAACAATTGATGTAATAACATGTTTATCATAGTGTCATTTGGATGAGTGAAAAATAGACACATCATCCAAATGCCTGACAAAGAAGAGATTGAATAAATTGCAAAGCATCCATGTGTGGAATGTTATTTATTCATTAAATAACTCATTCTATGCTTCTACTGGGGACAATGTAGAAGACAGAATTGTGTGCACAGTGTGCTTTCAATCATATATATTTTCTTTTATAAAAAACAACTTCATGAGTTATAATTGACACATAATCAACTGCATGTATTTGAAGTATTCAAGTTGATGATTTTTGACATATCATATACCCATGAAACCAGCTCCTAAAGATAGTGAACATATCCATCACCCCAAAAACTTTTCCCTGCCCCTCCTGCCATCCCCATCAACCACTGATCTGGCACTACAAATTAGTTTGCATTTTCTAGAAATTTATATAAACAGGATTATACAGAACATACTTTTTTTCCCTGACTTCTTCCACTCAGCATAACTACTTTGAGATACACCACTGATGTGTATCAATAGCTGACTCCCTTTTGTTGCTGAATAGTACTCCACTGTATGGATGTACCACAACTCATTTATCCATTTACCTGTTGATGAACATTTGGGTTGTTTCTGGTTTGAGGCTATTACAAATAAGATGCTATGAACATTCATAACCAAATCTTTGTGTGGACATATGCTTTACCTCGGTGGAACATGTAGCTCACATGGTAGATGAATGTTTAACTCTTTAGAAACTGACAAACAGGTTTCCAAAGTGGATGTACCATTCTACATCCCATCAGCAGCTCCTCCACGTCTTTGACCTCATTTGCTATGGTCAGTCTTTTTAACCTCAGCCATTCTCTTAGGTATGCCGTAGTATCTCATTGTGGTTTTAATTTGCATTTTGTAATGACTAAGGATGTTGAGCGTGTTTTCACCCACTTATTTGCTATCCAAATCTCTTCTTTGGTGAAGTGTTCATTTAAATAGTTCTCCCATTTTTGTACTGGATTGCTTGTTTCCTTGTTATTTTTAAGAGTTCTTTATACACTCTGGATTGAAATCTTTTATCAGATATATGCTTTGCAAATATTTCCTCCCAATATGTGGCTTGCCTTTTCATTCTTTTTTTAAATTTTTTTTTTATTGATTTCAGAGAGGAAAGGAGAAGGAGAGAGAGATAGAAGTATCAATGATGAGAGAGAATCATTGATCGGCTGCCTCCTGCACGCCCCCTACTGGGGATGAGTCCGCAACCCAGGCATGTGCCCTGACTAGGAATTGAACCATAACCTCCTGGTTCATGGGTTGACGCTCAACCACTGAGCCACGTCAGCCGGGCTCCTCCCCCTCCCCCTCCCCCTCCCCCTCTCCCTCCCCCTCCCCCTCCCCCTCCTCTTCCTCTTCCTCCTCCTCCTCCTCCTCCTCCTCCTCCTCCTCCTCCTCCTCCTCCTTCTTCTTCTTCTTTTAGTTCCTTAAGGTGAAAATGGAAGTCATTGCTTTGAGACCTTAACATTAAAATCTCTGCCTATAATTGTGGCTTTGTCTATTTCTCCCTACAGTTCTATTAGTTTTTGCTTTGTATATTTTGAAGGTTTGTTATTAGATACAGAAGTATTTATGTTGGTTACGTCTTCCTGACAAATGGATGCATTTGTCATGATGAAATCGCCCCCCCACAATATTTTTGCTACAAAACTTACTTTATGCATTATTAATAGAATTACTCCAGCTTTCCTTTGATTAATGTTACATGGTATATCCTTTTTCATCTAACCTATGTGTGTCTTTATATTTATTTATTTATTTATTTATTTATTTTTTTTTGGCTTTTAAAGTAACATTTTATTTTTTTAAAGTTAACATGTGCATATATAGGAAACTGAAAAACACAAGCAAAGAACTTAGCCATCCATAATCACAAGCAGTTTACAGTCTGACGTGTCCTTCTAAGTCCTGTGTATCTACACAACTAAGCTTTCATTTTTATGTAATTAAGATGGTACAGTTATGTATCATGCTTTCTCACACATCATGAATATTTACCATTTCAAAGTCCAAAAGCTGTGAGTATTTTGATAACCAAGAATACCCAACATCAACTCAATCTGGAAGAAAATGTAATCCTGCCTTACTTGGTGACAAAAATCTCATAAAGGACAAAAATAGCCAACAAACCTGTAGATAAAAGATATTCAGAAAGTTACAATTAAAATAATGTGTTCCCGGGATGAACCAAGATGGCGGCATAGAAAAACACCGGAAATTGCTGCCTCCGACAACAACTTCAAAAATACAACTAAAAGGGAGAACGGTCATCATCCAGAACCACAGGAAGGCTGGCTGAGTGGAAACTCTACAACTAGAAGGAAAGAGAAGAGCACACAGACTCAGAGGAACTACGAAAGTGAAGTGCAGAGGGAAGCAGACAAAATGCGAAGACAAAGAAACAGGTCACAAATGACAGAAATGGAGGAAAGCAAACGACTGGATATAGAGTTCAAAACCACGGTTCTAAGATTTTTCAAGAATTTTATGGAAACCGCCGATAAAAGTAGTGAGATCCTCGATAAATGTAGTGAGATCCTCAATAAATCTAATGAGACCCTCGATGTTGTGATAAAGGACCAACTAGAAATTAAGCATACACTGACTGAAATAAAGAATATTATACAGACTCCCAACAGCAGACCAGAGGATCGCAAGAATCAAGTCAAAGATTTGAAATACGAAGAAGCAAAAAACACCCAACCGGAAAAGCAAAATGAAAAAAGAATCCAAAAATACGAAGATAGTGTAAGGAGCCTCTGGGACAACTTCAAGCGTACCAACATCAGAATTATAGGGGTACCAGAAGATGAGAGAGGGCAAGATATTGAAAACCTATTTGAAGAAATAATGACAGAAAACTTCCCCTACCTGGTGAAAGAAATAGACTTACAAGTCCAGGAAGCGCAGAGAACCCCAAACAAAAGGAATCCAAAGAGGACCACACCAAGACACATCATAATTAAAATGCCAAGAGCAAAAGACAAAGAGAGAATCTTAAATGCAGCAAGAGAAAAAAAGTCAGTTACCTACAAGGGAGTACCCATACGACTGTCAGCTGATTTCTCAACAGAAACCATGCAGGCCAGAAGACAGTGGCAAGAAATATTCAAAGTGATGAATAGCAAGAACCTACAACCAAGATTACTTTATCCAGCAAAGCTATCATTCAGAATTGAAGGTCAGATAAAGAGCTTCACAGATAAGAAAAAGCTAAAGGAGTTCATCACCACCAAACCAGCATTATATGAAATGCTGAAAGGTATTCTTTAAGAAGAGGAAGAAGAAAAAGGAACTCTTACCATTTGCCACACCATGGATGGAACTAGAGAGCATTAGGCTAAGTGAAATAAGCCAGTCAGAGAAGGATAAATACCACATGATCTCACTCATTTGTGGAATATAATGAACATCATAAACTGATGAACAAGGACTGATCCAGAGATGGAGAGGCATTGATTGGACTGTCGGGCCTTGGAGGGAAGGTAGGGGAGGGTGGGGGTAAGGGGGAAAGATCAACCAAAGGACTTACATGCAAGCATGTAGGTCTAGCCAATGGACACGGACAGCGGGGGGTGGGGGCATGAGCGGGGGGGGGGGGTAGGGGGTAACGTGGGTATAAGGACACATATGTAATATCTTAATCAATAAAAAAATATATTAAAAAAAAAAAAACTTAAAAAAAAAAAATAAATAAAATAATGTGTTCCCTTCATGTTCCATTAAAAATGAGACCCAAAGCAAGAGTACACAAAGTATAATGCTTCTAAGAGAATTACGATTTATACTTTAAAATATTAGCAAGGTGGCAAGTTTTGACGGAAGTACTTAACAACATATTTCTATAGCAGTCTAAAGAGATGCATGCACATCAGTGGTTATCACCACAATGTGAATATGAACACATCCACACACACCCCTCGGCATGAACAAGTCCTGATGTCCATTTCTGAGATGGTTCAACAACTTCATGTCCAAGATGCCTCTTTTCTAACAATTATAACAAAAAGATATTTACAAATTGGTTAATTCACTAGCTCTACTTTTTATCAGATATTGTCACCTCAGGACATCTAAAAAGCTCCAATGTTGCAAAATAAAGAACCTTGTCCACAATAAACACAGGAACTTTACAAAAATGCATACAGACCTATAGTTATAACCTAAAACTTTCTTCTAGGTATGGAGATATTAGCAAAGAGCCCTTCCCTTCACCCTTCCTCTTCTCCCTCCTCCACCACGTCAGTGACTAAATACAGAACACCTGGCTCCAAGAAGTGGATTAACAAAGACACTCCCAGACAACAGTCCTTCCTAAAAACTAACAAGAGGGCTTTTATAAAAGGATTATTTTACTACCTCTACTTTTTATATACTTCAGGCTTTATCCTTGAATACACAGCAGTGTGTCTTTATATTTAAAGTGCATTTTTTATAAGCATAATATAGTTGGGACTTACTTCTTTATTCCCTCTGAATCTCTGCCTTTTATTTGGGGTCTTTAGAACACTTATATTTTATGTGATTAGTGGTATGGTTAGGTTTAAGTCTATCATCTTGTTATTTATTTTCTATTTGTCCGATCTGTTATTTGTACCCCTTTCTCTCTTTTTCTGCATTTTTTTGTATTGAATATTATTGACGATTCCCTTACCAATCCCAGTTAAAGATTACCACTGTGTGGAGGATAGTAAAGACCATAACAGTGCCACCACTATAGGGAGAAGCCTACAGACCTACTCCTACTGTGCCGTCAACGGGTTCAGAGTCACCAAAGAAGACTCAACACATGGGCCTGGGTTGGAACAGAAAGAAGACATACAGCAAGACCCAAATTGGTAGCACGCTCTGTGTCCCAGGGCTGGTGGGTCCCTCCTGAACCAAGGCAGGGCAGCGGACTGCATGCACCCTCATGCTGCAGGTAAAACCTCATTCTCTGCCCACAGGGCAGATGTGCTGGTGGGGCTGGTTGTGTGCCATATGATGCTCACGCCTAAGCAGTACAGGCCGTTCACTGCGAACCCAAACAGGGAAAGACTTCTCTTATTAAGGAAAAGAATTTTGAGTCGAGTGACAGCTCTTCACCTGGTCTCCAGGTCAGGGGTACTGATTGGGCAAGCCGAGGGACAGCAGGGGCCTCACGATTTCTGCTTCCCCAGCAAATATTGTTAAAATGGTTCCATTTCACCTCTTTTGTCGGCTTACTAGTTATAACTATTTTGTTATTTTGGTGGTTGCTTTGGGTTCATAGTATAGATCAGCGGTCGCCAACTGGTGGTCCATGGACCACTGGTGGTCCCTGAGGCCCGAAAAGTTGGCGACCGCTGGTCTAGATTTTTAACCTAGAACAGTCAGCCTTTGCATGATTTCGTATCACTTCACGCCTCCTATTAGAACCTTACGCTGCACACCTCCATCTCCTTACTCCCTGCCTTTGTGCTGTTGCGCCATAGGTCTGCTTATACATTATTTATAAACCTTGCAGTACATTGCTGTTACTTGCTAAAGTCCATTCCCTTTTAAATACATTTAAATAACAAGTTAAAACACCTCACTGTTTACCCATGTGGTGAGAGTTTCCATCGGTCCCATGCCTTTGTGTGGATCCCCATGCCCATCTGCTGTTCTTTCCCTTCTGCCTGAGTGACTTCCATTAGCATCTGCCAGTGTGACTGCTGGTGATCTTCAGCTTTTATTCACCCGAAAAAGGCCATGAGGGCTTGGTTCTGAAAGATAGTTTTTCTGGGTGTAGGATTCTAGGTTGAAGTTGTTTCTTTTCACACCTTAATGATGTTGCTTGGCTAGCTCCTCTCTTATGTTGCTGCTGCTGTCCTCACCTTGACTATAGGACGTGCGTTTTTCTCTTTAGCATCAGTTTTGAGCAGATTGACAACTATATGCCTTGTTGCAGTTTTCTTCGTGTCTTTTTGTATTTGCTTGGAATTTATTGAGTTTCTTGGATCTGTGAGTTTACGGTTTCATCAAATTTGGAAATATTTGGTCCCTGTTTCTTCAAATCATTTTCACTTGTTCCCCTTCTCTCTGCAGAGGATTCCAGCTTCAGGTTGCTGGGTGGCTGAAGTTGTGCCATGGCTCACTAGGTGCCCTTTTCTTATTTTCGGATTCTTTTTCCTCTGTCTGTCCCATTTTGGATAGTTTCCTCAAACTCACTCATCTTTTCTTCTGAAATGTCTAACCTGTTCATCTCGACCAATGTGTTTTTAAATTCAGACATTGTGGTGTTTTTTCTAGAAGTGTAATTTAGGTCTTTTATTATACCTCCTTGTTTCTACCTAACTTTTTGAAAGTATAGAATACATACTATTTTATATCCTTGTCTGATAAGTCTAACGCCTGTGAGGTTTCAAGTTTAATGTTCTGATTTGTCTCTTTTTAATTGGCTTTATTTGATTGGATGCCATCCTTCAATGTAAACCCAGAGGGGCAGGTCCCACCTTCAGTATAAACCCAGAGGGGCAGGTCCAGAACCCCAGGAGCCGAGGCCCTGGAGGCAGAGACTGTGGCTACCTAACTACATCCCCCATAAACACATGAAGTCTTCACAGAGACAGACATGTATGCAGGTGGTGTATGTTTCCCTTGATGTTTTAGCAAAAAATTTTTTACAAACTTAACGGGAAACCAGTGGAAAATATTTCTTAAAATAAACCAGGGATGGGTGGCAAAACTGCCGGGGAAGCTGGCGTCCTCTAAATAGACGCCCATGCTGCAAGCTGGCTCCCCAGGTGGCACGCTGCCCTACAAATCCTGACAAATCCCTCCCAATCCGCACAAAGCGGCCAGACGGCCGGCTAGTGGGCAGACAGATGGCCAGGCCCCGGGGCGGTTCTCTAGCATGCGGCCTTAGAGGCGGAAGCAAGCCTTCCCTCACCCTTCTCGTTGAAAGGTGTGTGCCAGGCAAGGAGATAGTTATCCGGCTTCAGCTGCGAGCAGCCGTCAATGGTAGCGGGGTCTGCTCGATGTTCTGGAAGCTTCTCCAGCACTTCCACGTAGTGCTTCACCATCTCCCGGTACAGGTCGTCCAGGCACCAGTAGTCTGGGGGAGGAAGGAGAAGGCGGGATCAGAGTCTGCGAGTGGGAGACAAGTCTGTGAGTCTGCCGGGTAAACCCCAACACAGCAGTGACAACAGAAGGGCAGCGAGTCGGTGGAAGAGGAGGAAGATTTTAGTGACCCATCTCACACCGCCCGGGCTACCCAGAGAAATTGGACATGCAGACAAATAATTCGCTTTAGAGTTCACCCAGATTTCAGACATCCTAGTTTGTGGTTGTGATTATTACTTCAGTTACACACAGGAATCTAGAAAAAACCAAGATGCTCATACGCTAACAGCTCTGTCCATGTGAGGACAAGCTAGACCGACATCTGCCTGTTCCTTGGGGTTTCAAGGACCCACGTCTAACACACTGGGAGCAAGTCTCTCCCATCTTCAATTCCCTTCTTCTCACACCCATGAAGCAGCCAACGCTCCCCAGGCATTGTCCCAAACTGCACCCCACTGCGTGAAGGTGTCCTGGGAACAAGTGTGGCCTCAGACCCTAGAAGATCACAGGGCAGGAGGACAGAGGGGCCAACGCACACAGACCACCCGCCGTCTGCCCTGCAGGACACCTTCAATGATTCCATGCAGTCCTCCCAGGACCCTGTCAGGCTCCTATTGGTCACACTTGTGGCCTGTGGGCCGCATGTGGCCCAGCCAATATAACGGTATGTAGGAAACATTTTAATAAAAATTTTGTAATTAATTTTGTATTAATTTTTGTAATATCCTGTTACACATAATTATTCATAACGAACTACAATGTTCGCTAATGACTGATTACTATAATCGTGTTGCATTCATTTCCCTTATGCACCTTACGTGCAGGCGCACCATTTCTCTCCACTAATACTAGCAGCAAATATTTTAGCAGCTGATTGCCACATCATTAGTCCTGGACTGACTTGTTTGGTGTGCGCAACAGGAAATATTTCACTTTCAGAGAACACGAAAAATAGGTTTATTTGTGTTATGCTTATTAATTTGTGCAGTTATTCAGTGTCTAGTAAGTTAATGTTCTATTATTTTATGTTAACTAGAAGCCTGGTGCATGAAATTCCTGCGGGTGGGGTGGGGGGGGGTCCCTCAGCCCGGCCTGCACCCTCTCCAATCTGGGACATCCCCCTCGAAATCCAGGACTGCTGGCTCTTAACTGCTCACCTGCCTGCCTGCCTGATCACCCCTAACCACTCTGCCTGCCTGCCTGATCACCCCTAACTGCCCTCCCCTGCCGGCCTGATCACCCCTAACCGCCTCTGCCTCAGCCCCCACCACCGTGACTTTGTCTAGAAGGAGAACCAGACAACTGGAAGATGTCCGATCTATCTGTTCTAATTAGCATATTACCCTTTTATTAGTATAGATGATTACTCATTTATTTCAGCCCTTTGTATTCAGCATGTCTCCATTACGTTTCTATGAAAATTGAAGCTTTTGGGGTTTTTTTTGCAGCCCACATAAACTTAAACCTTGTTTATTTGGCCCGTGTTAGCCTTTGAGTTTGACATGCTTGGGTCACTCTGTTCTTTTTTCAGATAAGGTGCAGGGAGGTTATGTGACTTGCCCAAGGCCAGGGCTGGTAAATGGGTTTCGATTGCAAAGCCTGATTATTTCTGCCACTAAATTAATCCACAGCCCAGTGGGTTGGTCACATGGGAGAGCAGGCCCTGTGGGTTGGTGGAGGGGCTATGCCAGGCATGGCAGGCAGGTATGGGGCGTCCCTGCCCATGCATCTCTTACAGCCCCCACAACTTTACCTGTGCTAAAACTGTGTTTCAGGCATGTGGGCTGCCATCAGGAGCCAGCTACTGCCCCTCCTCTCTTTGGGGGTGGATTTCCCATCTCTGGTGGCTGGTGGGGGGCGGGGGGAGACCACCTCTCAACCTTCCTGGGCTCAGAGCAGGCAGTGAAGTGTCGTTGGCATGAAAACCCACGGCCCTTCCCCAGGTCCAACCAGATCTTCGTCAGGCCTCCTCAGAGCCAGGGGCCCAGCTCAGAGGGGAGCAAGATCAGAAGTGCACTTGGCAAAACAAAACACTCCCTGGCCCAGGACGAAGCCTCAGGCCGGGCAGTGGCCATGGCAGGTGGCACCCCGTACCCTAGAGTTGTGACCCTTTGGAGACGGGACCTGGTGAAAGAGTGGCTCTGAGTCCTTTGTTGCCATTCTCCAATCTCTTAACAGCAAGGGGAGTCCCAGGAGGCCCAGCCCACAGCTCTGATACTTGGCATTGCCCAGACTTGAGTAGGGGACAGAGAGGATGCAGCCAGACCTTGGTTGGGGAGGAATGAGTTCTGCCGGTCACAACGCCACTAGAATAAAATTAACCCCTGGCTGGAGGTGCGAGCCACCGGGATCGGTCCAGGCTCTGGAGCCAGCACTATCAGTTACAGACAGCCGTTCGTAATTAACTCAGTCCTGGATTAACTCAGTCCAGCGTTCATAAGCCTGGCCCTCCCAGAGTCCCCCAAAATAATTCCTTTTATTCTGGAATCACATACTTTTTAAAGGAAAAATAGTCCCTAAAAACAAAATGGCAAGTAAAAGCCTTGTGCTGGTTTCAGGCTAGAATTTAAAGTAGAAACAGATTTTTTTTCAAAGCTGCAGAGCCTCAGACTCTCTCCCACGAGTTTCTCCACTTTGTGAAAACATGGATCCTCAACTCATTTCTTCTCTCTCTTGCCCGCCCAGTCTCCTAAAAGACAAACCAGCTGATAACATCACCCGTAAGCCTCCCACCTGATCTCACGATAAAGACAAGTCACAATGCCAATATCAGGTTCCTTTGAAAGAAAAATGTCCACTTTTCAAAATGCGGTACTCAGGGAGACGTTGGTGGAGGAAGAGGAATCCGGAGCTGAGCCGGGACAGGCCGAATCTGCTCTGACTTGGGTCAGGCCCCATGTTCCCCTGCGGGCCATGGACCCACAGGTGGCACTTGCTGCTGTCCCCAGTGGGCTAATGACGCCCCCCCCCATTCTTCCTGCACCAACAGTGACAGGGCTCCTGGCTTGGCCACGACCGTTGGAGCTGCTGACCCTCAGACGCATAAGCCATTGTAAAAATACTGACAGTAATTAATTGCCATGAGTCACCTTCCCATATAACCTAAGCTGTCCCACTTAATCCTCACATAACCTATGACGAAGGTATTGCCGTCCGGAAGTAAGGCTCAGAGAGGGGAAGCGGGTTTCTGACCAGTGAGTGGTAGAGAACTAGGAGTGTCATGCTCCAGAGCCCCTAAAGCGGAGCCCCCCTGTCCTTGGGGTGACGGGCCCACAAGGGAGCCTTTGGTAAACGCGTGTCGAGTGAGCTCTTTGCTCATAAGCTGTGCATACTGGGTTGCCTACCTACCTTGTGGAGTATTAGCTACTTCCTATATCTGTCAGTATCTGCTTTCATTTAACACTGACCCTTGTAGAGACACACCCAAAAGGTGCACATCACACAGGCTGCACCTGACCTTCCTCATCCTGTTTACTCTTTGGCAGGGCAATGGCTCCCCAGACCACACCGCTACGTGGCTTATGGGCTTAAGGCACTTATTAGCGAAACTTAAGTCTGCCAAGATGCAGTTCCACTTTGTGAAAGTCTGCCTCTCTTCGGAAAACATGTTGAAAAACCACTGTTCATTGGGATCCTTGAAATATTTGCATGTCCTGTAACCTCAGGTGGTCCGGACAGTGCTTATCAAGAACTCAGGCGTTGGAGCAGGTTGCCTGGGTTCCAATCCCTGGCCTGATGCTCACTCGGCTGTGTAGCACTGTGTCAGCTACTTAACCTGTCTGTGTATCAGTCCCTCACCCGTAAAACTGTAATAATAGCCCGGCCGGTGTGCTCAGTGGTTGAGCATCGACCTATAAACCAGGAGGGCATGGTTCGATTCCTGGTCAGGGCATATGTGTGGGGCGTGTAGGAGGCAGCTGATCGATGTTTCTCTCTCATCGTTGATGTTTCTTTCTCTCACTCCTTCTCCCTTCCTGAAATCAATAAAAAAAAATTTTAAATGAGCTGTTTGAAAACTCAATGTAAATGAAATTTCAACTGAAAAAAATATGTTTGCTTGGGTTTTGGGAGGAGAACAATTCAAGGCAGCAGACTTCTCGCATTTTGTCTCATGACCCCCCGGCCAGAGGGTGCTGCCATGTAGAGCAACTCCCCACTTCCCACGCCTGGTGGCTGCGATCACGTAGGGTGAACTCATCTTCCTCCTTAAAAGCAATGTCCCAAACACTCACAATCCTCTTCAATGCATACATTTCACATGGAGGGCAAAGTAGATCCTATTTGTGCCAACAGGACTTGACCCCATCTAACCTCAGAGAGCAGGTTATGGTCAGAGGTGCCCCAACCTGTGCCAGGTACTGTACAGGACAGAGACACGTTGTGGATTCTGCCATTCACAAAAACTTACTGAAGCGCTCATGGAGATGAGGGCAAACACGAGAGGACGTGTGGACTGTGGACTGTGCGCATACAGCATCCGTCAGACACAAATGAAGGAAGCAAAGTGTAAGCGTAAGGACCAGCTGCGTGCACCTGAAACAAGCCCTGCTTTTGTTTTGAAAGCCATGCTCTCCAGCAGGTGCCTGGGGGTGGGCATGGCTGCTGGAATGCTACTGAGTACTGTTAAACAACAAGCCCATGGGATCTTCCTGAAAACAGACAGGCAACATTTGGATGTCACAGCTGTGTAGACTCAGAAAGACACTTCACCGTTTTCAACACGCGGTGACACTTTATCTTATCTATGGTGCTTTAGCTCTGCCACTAGCTATTTAGGAACCGGTCACAAAGTACATGGCATTCTTGTACGATGACCACAGAACTAAATCGAGCGTGCTCACAGCAGCCCCATGGAGTGGTGAGGTGAGCTCATAAGTGAGATTTCATTGACTTAACAGTCACTCTCAGGTTTGAATTTTGCAGTGACATACTAATAACACAGGGTTTCAAAGAGCAAATCACGTGTAGAAAATAGTGCTACATATTTATACGTTTATCTGAAATTCATATAAAAACATGTTGGTCCTAAATCAACCTGTTGTTTAAAGAATATTTCAATCAACTTTGCTTCCCTGTCCCCCAAATTCAACCAATTTTATAGCATTTTCTTAGGACATACTTATATATAAGCAACAATCCAAGCTAAATCATATTTTGGTAGCTGGCGTTTCAACCCTAGTTCAGTGGAATTTAGAAGTAATCCCCAAACAATATTACCTTCATTTGTCCAAATTTCAAAACTGGCATCTTACTTTATATTCTTTTGAAATAAATTCAGAAGAGAGCTTAATATCTGCAGTGAAAAGTTGAGCCCTCACCAGGAACAGCCCCAAAGTCAGATTTAATTGAATTTAATTCCAGAGACAGAGCTCAGCTTAGTAAACACTCTACAAATGAAAAGTCACTGTTTAAGACACCGACTCTGCAGATAAGCAGAGTAAAAGAATATCGCCGTCCAAAAAGACTGCACGAGCAACATGAGCTGTGGCACGTCCGATTTGCGGAGGGACACTGGTGTATGTTAAACGGCCACTTTAGCAGTGGCACCGGGTGACACCATAGCTGAAACGCCACATCGCCTTCAAAGCCCCAGTGCTTACCACAAGAGCTCGGGTTCACGGACACACTGAGGGGCAGGGGCCGAGCCTTACCTGTGGTGAGGGCCCTGGCCGTCGCCAGGTGCATGATGGTGTTGTCACTCACAGGCCACTTCTCCGGTGAGAGCACCAGGTGGTCCAGCCCCCCGAGTTTCTGCAGGTCCTCCTGGATCTTCGTGCCTGAGGCACTGTTCTCCTTGCGGGCGTTTCTGTAACCGAGAGCGTCCCCGACACTGCCCAGCAGCATCGCAGCCTGAAATTTCTCCATTGCGGAGCGGCTCCTCTGTCCGCCCAGCTGTTGAGCACGTCCAGCCTCTGTTACTTCGCGGCAGCGGCAGCCCTCAGTCCACCCCGCTGACCTCCGTTCTGGTCATTGTGTCACTGTCAAGAGCCTCCTCAAATGGCCAAGCACTGCTTTCCTGTCTGCAGGTGGCACCAATGAGAAAACCTTCCTGGACCCCGCAGCTCACAGAGCCTTCTGAAGAGCCACGTGGAAGTGTCAGCTTCCTGCAGCGTCTGGACAGACACAAGCTCTTCCACAGAGGAGCCTGCGGCTCACCCAGAGCATCTAGGCAGCGTCCAGGGCAACTCCCGACGCTCTCAAACGCAATGGCTTTCCAGTGTGAGTCTTTGCACAGCATCCTTGGAGAAATGCACTCATTTCTAAATGTTTTAAAGTATAACTTACACACCGGGGAATTCTCTCATGTCCCGTGCACAGTCTGATGGCTTGTGCAAAGGGACACTGCTGTGCGTCACACCACAGACCCGCTTTAGAACACTTCTGTCACCCCCAAGTCCCCGTTGCCCATCCGCTCCCTGTTCCCCCCATCGCACCCCCAGGCAACCACTTTCCTGCTTTCTATCTCTATAGTTTTGCTTTTTCCAGAATTTTAAAGAGTTATGCATATGTAGCCTTTTGTGTCTGGTTTCTTCTACTTAGCATAATGGTGAGGTTCATCCATCATGGTTCCGTTTTGGGGAAAACTTTTTGGATTATAAAACGTGTTTCTGATAGAACACTGAAAAAATGCGAAGGGTAAAGAACAAAGCATTCCTGGCTCCAGGGGGAAAGATTACGAAGTGTTCTCACAATTCAATGTTCAACAAAAGGCTCCAAATACCCAGGCTTCAGGTGGCAATGCATGTGAGCACAGAGCAGAGCCTCGGCGTGGCATCTGTGACGGTGCCATCCATCGGCATCGGCGGGCGGGGGGGCGGGGGGAGAGGGGGGGAGGAGAGGAGGTAGGGGAGGGGGAGGTAGATGGGATGTCTAAACCGGGGATCTTGAGTTGAAACAAGGCGTTAGGAAGCAGTCATCTCACTGTCCCAGGCCCTCGAGTGACTGCCCCACTGGGACCGTGCTTCCCCCTTGTCCCCAGGACCTGGGCGCACATCATACCAGAAGAGGGAGGGTATCACACCTGGGCTTCAGAAAAACATCTGCTAAAAATGGAATTTCTTTCAATAATAAGAGGATGCTAGAATGCACTTAAATGAACACACAGCACTGTAACAGCCCTTGTTAAACATGAGGTTCTGGAACATGATTCCAGCTAGCACAGTTCTGAGAGATCCTGAAGCAAATAGTCCTTTAAAAGCCAGTACAGCCTTAACCGGTTTGGCTCAGTGGATAGAGCGTCGGCCTGCGGACTGAAGGGTCCCAGGTTCGATTCTGGTCGAGGGCATGTACCTTGGTTGCGGGCACATCCCCAGTGGGGGGTGTGCAGGAGGCAGCTGATTGATGTTTCTCTCTCATCGATGTTTCTAACTCTATTCCTCTCCCTTCCTCTCTGTAAAAAATCAATAAAATATATTTTAACAACAACAACAACAAAAAGCCAGTACAGACAACCCTGGATTTCTGGGTATGCAGATTCCTTATCCACCAGGACAAGACAGACGACAGCAGTCCTTTTTTAGACAACTCCCACTGTAGGTAGAACAGCACCATTGGGCAGGCACATGTATTGTTGAGGGCAGAGGTATAGTCTAGGGCAGTGGTGGCGAACCTTTTGAGCTCGGCGTGTCAGCATTTTGAAAAACCCTAACTTAACTCTGGTGCTGTGTCACATATAGAAATTTTTTGATATTTGCAACCATAGTAAAACAAAGACTTATATTTTTGATATTTATATATTTAAATGCCATTTAACAAAGAAAAATCAACCAAAAAAATGAGTTCGTGTGTCACCTCTGACATGCGTGTTACAGATTCGCCATCACTGGACTAGGGTGAGATTCATTTGCTAATTCTGAGGCAGTGGAAACCTTTATTGCAGATGCTAGAAGCAACTCCATACTATGTGGCCTGTGTCAGCAAATAGGAAGAGGTGAGATGAGTTCACTGAGTGGTTCGTGCAATGTTTAGTGAGCCCTGTGTGGATGCAGCAACTAACGGAAAAAACCGACTCTGCCTCCAAGGAGCCTGAAGTCTGCGATAGGCATATGACGCTTAAACTTCTACTGAGTTAAAATAACACAATGGCCTGCATCGTGCCGCCAGGACAAAAAAAGAGACATCTATTCCAAAAATTCCTGGCAGGCACTGTATGAAGGCATTCATTACACTTATTAAACCTATTGTGCTTGGTTAATTTGTGTCTTTTCAATATATCTATAGCTTGCATTTCAGTGTATTCTGGTTATATAATTCCTATCAACTCAAGGGCTGTGTATTATGAGATCTGTAATTTTCCACATGAAAACCATATTAAGTGCCATTATGTGACACTTAAATAAACCTAAATGACTGCAGCTGCCAATGTTGGGACATGACCACTTAACTAGGGTGGCAGGCTGGGCACAGGGGGGAATGTCCCTGTCCCTGGGCTATGGAGGCGGCTTTCCTGTAGGTGGCCACCCATGACTGATGAAGAGGCTGACATCTAGTGGTGAGTACTGGAATAACCGAGGGTAGAATTAAAAGTACACCACACCAGAGAAAATAATTTATTTTAATGTTTCCAAAGTTCTTAGCAGTTTTGTGGCATGCATGACTTAAATGTATATCATAGGAGAAAAAGAAACCCACGTTTTTTGAAGACCCTTAGTCCCATTACTAATGTTTTGATATCTACTGAGCCCATAGAACATTTTTTCCTCATGTAACTTTAAACCTTAAGAATAAGTCTCTGAGCAGAACACTTACATGTCAAGAATGCATGAAGCCTGAAGGATGCTTTATATTTGCTGAGGTTTTTATTAAAGCTAGCTTTCATAATATAAAATAAATGCTCTCTTAGAATCACAGACTTACAGATAGAGCTGGCCTTGCTTTTTCTTTTATAGACATGGAAGTGGCAGCCTGGGTGAGGTGAAGTAACTTGCCTGGGCCCTGTACCTAGTCATGGGCCGGTGACCCCAGCTTAGCCTGTGGTCTCCAGCCCTCAGCCCCCTTTCCAATCCTCCACTGTCTGCTGCCCTCTTTGAAAGACTTCGATTCAAAAGTATAAATAGTTCCCATAGAGTAAGTATACGCAAACCTTGTGTTGCACATGGGCACTTCCTAAAACACAGTGAATCACACTTTGGAAGTCAAATCAAAACGACACATTTTAGGCACACTTTCTGTTTACAGGAAATCTGAGTGAATTTCCTGTGCGGAAATAACCCCAATTCACTTGTCTCCTAAACCAGGTTGCGGGCAGGGCAGCAGGCACACTCGTGGCAGGAGGATCTTCTCAAATATGAGGTAGGGTCCACACAGTGATTTTTCAAAACTGCACGCAAAACTCCCACCTACCCCTGTGCCACGGGACGGTTCTCTCTGACAAGGCAAACACCAGAAAAATCGGAGGGCAACCTGAGGCAGACAGGCTGCAGCTCACAATGAGATGAAGGTTTCTGGCCTGGTTTTCGGGTTTTTTGGACGATAATATGTATGTTAGCTTCCAAATGTGTACACCCATACGAAGGGGTGGGGAGTGGACATTATGGAGATTACAGATATGTGAAAGGAACCGACTCACTTGATTTTTAAATCTATAATTCATCATTCATAAAAGAAATATTCTTCATGGAAAACGTCTTTTTAAGTGTAATAAAATACATTTTTTTAAAAAAACATAGTTTACGAAACTTCTTAGGAAGTTCAAATGACATTATTAGAAGTAAAATAGACCTGCTGACTTGCAAGCTGTTTAAAATAAAACTTCCTGGAATTATCACATACATGTGCCATTGCTTTGGAAACTAATGGCTATTAAAAACTATAAAATGATTTTCAGATGAACATCTAGAGAAAATTAAAACAAAAATAGATCTGATAAATCTAGATATTCGATAATTCAAAAAATATAAATCTTGAATTCCTGGCACCAAGTTTAAAAAAATGTTAGAATCCACAAGATCATTTCCTTCTGGGCACACACTTTAGCTTTGACTATATAAAAATATAACATCCTACCAAGGACATAAGTACTTTTTTTAAGTGTAATTACAATATAATTCAGCGGAGTGTGGTAACTGCTGGTGTTCCCCTGAAATCATGAATTATCGGCATGCTCTGCAGTCCTGCTAACAGGCTCTAGGTGCTTTTTCATAAATGTAAAAATCATGCAGAAATCTCCTAAAGCAGCAGCGATGCGATCCATCTGCGGACATTCCACAGCAGCTCTCCCCTGAGGGTCTCCTACGGAGTCCAGGCTCAGCCACCGTTCCTTCAGGCAGAGTGAGATGCTCGTTCCAGTTCCACGGCTTCTGAAATCAGTGACATATGTGCACAGAAACTGACCAAAATGTCTCCTTGCAGGTGGCAGTTCGTCTTACAATCCTAATCCATGTTCATTTTCTGCCTAGAAAGGGCTGTGTTTGCCACCTGTGACCACGGGTCGTGCATATTCTACGAAATCATCTATAAGAACAGGCCATGCTCCTAAAAACAAACAGATTTTTAAAAAATTTACATTTAGAGCAATGTTTTTTAAATTAATATCTTTATTGGTTAAGGTATTACAAATGTGTCCTCATTTCCCATTAACCCCCAACCTCCCCGCCCCCTCCCCCCTCATGCTCTCATCCCCCGGTTGTCTGTGTCCATTGGTTTGGCTTATATGCATGCATACAAGTCCTTTGGTTGATCTCTCCCCCTTACCCCCTCCCTCAACTACTTTCCCTCTGGGGATTGATAGTCTGATCGCTGTTTCTCTGTCTTTGGATCTGTCCCTGTTCATCAGTTTATGTTGTTCTCTATATTCCACAAATGAGTGAGATCATGTGGTATTTATCTTTCTCTGACTGGCTTATTTCACTTAGCATAATCTCTCCAGTTCCATCCATGCTGTTGCAAATAGCAATAATTCCTTCTTATTTTACCGCAGCGTAGTATTCCATTGTGTAGATGTACCACAGTTTTCTAATCCACTCATCTGCTGATGGACACTTAGGCTGTTTCCAAATCTTAGCTATGGTGAATTGTGCTGCTACGAACATAGGGGTGCATATATCCTTTCTGATTGGTGTTTCTGGCTTCTTGGGATATATTCCTAGAAGTGGAATCACTGGGTCAAATGGGAGTTCCATTTTTAGTTTTTTGAGAAAACTCCATACTGTTCTCTACAGTGGCTGCACCAATCTGTATTCCCACCAGCAGGCAATATTTTTATTCAAAGCACTGTTTTCATAATCTAACACTTACAGTTCAAAACCTCAAATGATTTTTAGTTTCCACAGCTTGTGCTTCACTTAACTGCTGAAGTCACCCCGCTCTCTGCTCTAGCTGGACCAGGGCCGGCAGATACTGGTGTGCTCGTGTGGGCATGGCCCTTGCTGACGACGGTGGCACACAGGGCTAGCTGGCCCGGTGTTCCCACTGCAGCCTCACGGTTCTCAGCCTCTGCACCAGGCAGTCAGGACCAGGTGAGAGATGCAGCTGCTTTCCTCCACCAGGGATGCTGCGTTCTTCCTGAGCCAGTACCTCACCCAATCCAAGTGGCCCCCTAAACGCCCAGGATACTCAGACACCACCCAGTGGCCAGCCACATACTGACTACTTTACATTTTGGCTTTCTATGTAGACGTGCCCTGTCTCACCCACCAGCGAAGGCTCCTGAAAGCTGGGCTTCTGTCTGAAGTCAACTACTCACCCACTGACGAGCTGCCTACTCTGCTAGGGAGGGAGTGGAGCTGAGGACAGAGACACAGACACTTGCCCTGGCAGCTACCACCAGGGTGGGGAGGAGGCTGTCCCAGAGCATGTCACCTCCTCACTGGGCACCGAGGAAGCAGCCAGTGGGTGGGGTGTGGAGAGAGAGCATTCCCTTCCAAATGCAGCACATGCAGAGGCATTCACATGCTCCGGCCGAGTGCCCTGAAACCCTGGGGCAGGGGCTGCTGGGTGTGAAGTTATGTTCATGTAGGGAAATGTAAGCGGGACTCATCAAATAGCTCAGACAGCCTAACGACCTGAGGCCCAAATGGGATTACGTCCCTGGAGCACATTTTCCAAACACCTGTCGGGTTCTACAGTTCTGCCGTGGGCTCTCTGCACGCCCATATTTTAAATGCTTTAATTTAGAGAATTGTCTTCGTGATTAAATAAACATGAAATCCTGTTTTTCTTTTGTGTGATTTACAAGATATAATGAAGTGGATACTATTATTCTCGGGTTTGTCTGACCCACTGTCTGTGTCCCCATCACTGTCCTCTATTCTCGGGTTCACCTGAATCACTGTGTCACCATCACGGTCCTATATTCTCGGGTTTGTCTGACCCACTGTCTGTGTCACCATCACTGTCCTCTA